ATATCCATCATCACTATACATATATATATATTTATTTATTTTTACAGAGAGGAGAGACATAACCTTAGTGGATTGTTTTGATGTCAATCTCTGAGAATCTAGTAGTAGTGGTGCCCCCTTCCTGGGATATCCTCCACCGAGTGTGTGTGGTGCCCCCCTTCCTGGGATATCCTCCACCGAGTGTGTGTGGTGCCCACCTTCCCGGGATATCATCCACTGAGTGTGTGTGGTGCCCCCTTTCTGGGATATCATCCACCCAGTGTTTGTGGTGTCCCCTTTCTTGGATATCATCCACCCAGTGTTTGTGGTGTCCCCTTCCTTGGATATCATCCACCCAGTGTTTGTGGTGTCCCCTTCCTTGGATATCATCCACCCAGTGTTTGTGGTGTCCCCTTCCCGGGATATCCTCCACTGAGTGTGTGTGGTGCCCCCTTCCTGGGATATCCTACACCGAGTGTGTGTGGTGTCCCCTTCCTTGGATTTCATCCACCCAGTGTTTGTGGTGCCCCCTTCCTTGGATATCATCCACCCAGTGTTTGTGGTGTCCCCTTCCTTGGATATCATCCACCCAGTGTTTGTGGTGCCCCCTTCCCGGGATATCCTCCAACGAGTGTGTGTGCTGCCCTCTTCCTGGGATATCATCCACTGAGTGTGTGTGGTGTCCCTTCCTGGGATATCATCCACTGAGTGTGTGTGGTGCCCCTTCCTGGGATATCATCCACCAAGTGTGTGTGGTGCCCTCTTCCTGGGATATCATCCACTGAGTGTGTGGGGTGCCCCCTTCCTGGGATATCATCCACTGAGTGTGTGTGGTGCCCTCTTCCTGATATATTCTCCACTGTGTGTGTGTGTGGTGTCCCCTGATATTCAATACACACTACATACTATACATTGTATACAATACACCCTATACTATACACACCACATACCATACATCTTATACAATACACACCGTATACTACACACCATATACTATACACACCACATACTACACGCTATATATAATACCCCTTATACTATACACACCACATACCATATATCTTATACAATACACACCGTATACTACACAACATATACTATACACACCACATACTACACGCCATATACAATACCCCTTATACTATACACACCACATAATTCACATAACATGCTTTACATGCCACATACAATAGACCTTATACTAGACACACAATTACAATTATTTATATAGCGCTAACATATTCCGCAGCGCTGTACAATTGT